GTGAGCGCTAGTATTGTCCTTTTTTCATGTTAGGATTTATAGGAAAAGTAATTTAGGTTTTACGACGTTTTTCATTTCAAACCGTACGTACTATCATAATTTCTAAACGTCCGTCCTAATTTACGTTTCCGTACCGTACTACTTTACTATATACCCTTATAAGAAGCAGTTTCGGGTGTACGTACGTACAGTACGTACGTTGGGGTGTTCGATGTACTATGATGCGAAAATCAATTAGTAAAGACTTAATAAATTACTGCGGTAATAGTATAGTTTCGATTTCAGTTTTTTATTATTTTCAGGTTATGAAAAAAGCTTTCTATTGCATTAAAATATGCTATCAACCAAACTTTCATTCGAAATTTCTAAATAGATTAATATATAGAATATCGAGAAAATATATGGCAATTTTTTCAGACATTATACATATTAATCTATTTAGAAATTTCACGTAAAAGCATAATGGATAGCAAATTTTAATGAAATAGAGAGCTTTTTTCATAACCTGAAAAATAATTAATTATTACATTACATTCACGTTAATAATAAAAATGCTGCGGCAACAGAATAATTTCGATAAATTTTAATTATTTTTCTTATGAAAAAGCTCTCAATTTCATTAAAATTTCTATTGATTATGTTCACGTGAAATTTCCAAATAGATTAATATGTGGAATGCCAAGGAGATACAATTTGAAGTTTGCAATTTTTTATAGAAAATTGCCATATATTTTCTCGACATTCTAAATATTAACCTATTTAGAAATTTCGTATGATAGTTTAGTGGATTGCACATTTTAATGTAATAGAGAGCTTTTCTTTCATAATCCGAAAAATAATAAAAAGAATGAAATTTATCGAAACTATACTATTGCCGCAGTAGTTTATTATGAATGTTACATAAAAAATAACCACTTAAATCGAGAATTGGCGGGCCCCGTGATGATCTCTTTTAGTGCAACAAATAAAATCTAGGATAAAGTTTAACTAATGAGATATCTGACCGATAAATATAAAGTTTACCATACGAATATTGTATTGTTTTGTGGCGTAAACATTGACAATGTTGCCTTTTAATGACAATCTTTTCTCTGTGTAGTATTGCTTATTATAGGATTATTATTCGAAACTCTTTTCGAAATTAATCCTTATACGTAATATCGAGTTCAAAACGTTTGATTTTATTTATTTATCTGTTTATTTATCATACACTAAAATCTACAAAATCTGAAAACATATATTATATTATAATCCAAAGGTTTTTTAGACGATAAGATAGTTTAAGATTTAAATCTTAGGGTTTATCTCGTTTATGCATCCTAAATAGAAATATAGAAACAAGAAAAAAAATTTTTCATGTGTAAATTTATTAACTGGTACGTACGTACGTACCGCACTTACAGTATTTTACCCAATAATAAAATATAATAATAACAAAGATAAAACCTTAATATAAAAAAGTTTATTTTTTAACGTTTTCTCTGACACAACTTTTGTATCACGCCCGTACGAATGTTACCTTACATTATGTACCGTTACTCAAAAGATCAGATAAGTATTAAAAATATTTATAGGTTCGTCGTTTTTATAAAAGTACGCCGCAAAAAAAAAATTGTTGTGAATTTTGTAAATAAAATTCATTCTTGTAATATGAGTATGGAAGAACATATAATTCCAATTCCTCCAGAAACGAAGGAATCAAATGATCGTGAAACAAATATAAAAAATCATAGGGAATCAATTGATCGTATTTTTGTTTCTCAATATATGAAAGATACTGGCAACACTTATATTGTTACTTATAGTGAAAAGTGCAATTCAATCCTTGGATGGTCAGTTGATAACATTGAAAATGATGGACAACAAGAACCCGATGAATTTTATAAGTTTGAAGAGCCATACAAAATAAAGTCATTTGCACTATATGAGAAATTTTTGTCGTTATGTTTAAAAGATGAAAGTAATGATCATTTTAAACAATGTAGGTATTATTTATTTTGACACAAAAACAATAATTCTTTTAATTAATGATTTATAATTCAATTATAGGCCTTATAGATTTAAATAGTAAACCACAATTTATTGAATTAGAACACTCCTATTCTAATGATATTCATGGACGATATACTATAGGGTTCCTTTCTGA